ACAGGCTGGTAATTTGGTGGCTCATGTTTATGTTCATTTATGGAAGCGTCTGTTATCATCATCGTTATTTATATCCCTCAGGAACTTTGTGTTATGGCCCAGAGCTTTAGCGAAAAAACGAATCAAAATTTCAGTTTCTGCAGCAGACGGGTACAGTCATCTCATTATGTTTATGGAAAGAAGCAATGTTTGTTAGCTGAGGGTCAGTTGCTCTTAATGGACAATAATATATGGTAACACTTTCGATTAGGGAACACTCTTTAGTACTTTAGTACAACAACTACCTTACTTACTAACAATAAGCAACAAATTACGAATTTATGTGTAAGAATATTTGTTCCCTAATCCAAAGAGTTACCGAAAATATAAATAAATGCAATAAATAACAAGAGGAAGTGTGTTATAGTGATTTTACCATGAAACAGAGACCCTTATAAGTTGGCAGAAAAATAATTACAAAAGGAACCCATTTTCAATAAATAAACCTGTACATAAGGACAAAGAAAGAAAGAAATATGGTTGCTAGGGTGTTCCTTGGATGTTCTAAGTTGCTGAAAGTATTTATTTTTTTATTTAGAATAAAAAAGAGAGATCAAAAATTCATGCAATTAGTAATTTGCAAAACACTGTGTCATCACTGTAAAAGAGTAACAGCTGTGGTCTGGATGTGTCTACATTTAAAATTCACTGTGATTAACCAGCATCCTCTCTCTCTGTTTTCTTCATTGGTTGTGAGGTCTTAGTCTCACTGTCTCTCAGTGCGGGTGTGATAATATCTCAGGCTCTCTTTAGGGACGGCTGGCTTTTGCAGTCTATAATGAGTCACTGGGGGCTTTTGTGGCTCAACATGTGCGATAGATCCTCACAACGCTTTTATCCAACACCAGCTGCACAGAAGAGAGGAAAAAACACAAGTGTCTTCATTTGAAACCTTCCATGGATTCATACATGCTGGAGTTTGTGTTGAACTTGAGCTGTTGTACTTATTTCCAGTATGTTGTGTAGACTTGCTTTAGACTTTCAGTCAATCATCCAGCAATGGTTTGAAACCACTGAGACCATGAAGAACGGGAAAAAAGAAGATGAAGATGTTCTGCTGGTCCTGGATGGGCTAGAGAAGAAATACTGAACATCTGCTAAACAAAGAGGTTGGTGGTGGATTTCTGGAACAAAATTGTGAAAGAACATCTTTTTGCTGAACACTTAGTGCCAAATCAAGGCTTTTAAATATTAAAAGCAGCCTTTAAAATCATCCATCAGCTAACACGCAAATTGGAAAATCACACATTATACATGGCCAAGACTTCATAGAAGATTTCTTCAATGGCTGACATCAACATACAGTGACACAGTAATGTATAGACACAAAATCAGAGACTTGTGAAAATCATTCCTTACTTTAATTATTGCTGCTGCACTTATGTTGAAGTGTTTATTCTTAATATGAAAGACAGTCTAGATGTACAGTCTTTCTACTTTATTCATGTGCCCAGTGGTGTTCAAACTGATGCATGTTCACAGTTAATTTTTCATTGCATTTCAGATGTGTGTGTTTTGCACTGTTAAATGTCAAGACACATTCCAGTGATGTCACTTGAATACATTACTGCACTGCATAATGTTTCCAACTCTAAACTGTTTAAGCATACTGTGAGTGTATATATACTACTGTATATCTGTTTTGTGTGCTCTGTATTATTGCAGTCATACCAAATTTCTCTCCAAGGATCATATAAATATCTGCCTTTAGCAATGAGATATTCTTCACTGTAACAATAGTGCTTGATAATTTTGGTTTGTTTGTTTGTTTTGTTTTTCTAGGTTCTTGATCATATTCTTTCATGTAACTTGTTTTAGTCACAAGTTAGTTTGACAGTTACACACCAGCCTCAAGCAGACCTACACATACCTGCAAAATAAGACTCTATAAGGCTCAGCTCCACCTGTAAAATAATTCACAGGAGTAACTGCACGTCCCCATTACAGTCAAGCAGCCTGCAATGTGAAAATTAATGTGTGCCTTCAAGTGCTAATAAAGTGCTAATAAGTTGTTTATATTCTCTACAACATCACCTCAGCATAAAACCTGTGCTGTGAAAATCCAAATAGTAAGGTAATATACGAGTGCAAAAGTGTTAATGAAGAAACGGTTCAGCTTCAGACTTCTTACACTGGTGAAAATAAGCACAGGATCTGCAAAACAGTACAGGATGATTTCAGATGAGGTGTGTTGAAGTACAAATTTTCACACTTATAGCCACTTTCTAATGAAGTTTTGCATCTTGCTAACTTAATACTGAGGTTTTATAATGGAGAGGAGAACTGTGACCCTGAACAAATCTAAGTTTATTAAGCTAACTGCTAATATGCTAACAAGCTGATGTTACTAGCTGAAGCTCTGAACTTTTGTGACAATTTCAAAGATACGTATATTAAGAATTAAATACAAAATACAAGATCTCCCTTATGAAAATTAACCATGGTTTTAATACAAATTAAACCAAAAAAACATGGTTACTATAGTTAAAACATGGTAACCACAAATTAACCATGGTTTTGCTACACTAACCATAGTTTACCCTGTTGAAAAAAACAGCATATGCTGGTTAGGTATGTTTGGACGCTGGGATGCTGGTTTAAGCTGGTCCTTTGCTGGTTTAAGCTGGTTTATGCTGGTCCTTTTGCTGGTTTATGCTGGTTCTTTTGCTGGTTTATGCTGGTCATGTGCTGGCAAAGGACCAGCATAAACCAGCAAAAAACCATCTTAAACCAGCAAAGGACCAGTTTAAACCAGCAAAGGACCAGCTTAAACCAGCAAAGGACCATCTTAAACCAGCATCCCAGCGTCAAAACATACCTAACCAGCATATGCTGGTTTTTTCAACAGGGTAACCATGGTATTTGTAGTAAAACTATGGTTATAATTGTAATCAATACGCCAAAAAAACATGGTTACTACAGTTTTACTACAATAAAACCATGGTTTATTTTCATAAGGGCTATACAATACCCTAACTTTGTAAAAATAGGATAAAAACATTTAATGATAGCATGCTAGGCTTCCACTGTACAGTATGTGCACTACCATAACATGTTTTTCATTCTTTTTACAAACTGAAGGGCGAGTCAAAATTAATAACTCTGGTAATAATTAATAGACCAAAGATGATATCAGTATAGCTGAAGTTGTAAAGAATTATTTAATGCACATTTGGAAGAGGAATTGAATTAACATAGCCTATCAAATGTGTGGCTCTTTGCTAGCTGGATTATGAAGCTGCTTTAACAGAATATCAAAGTGCAGCAAAAAGGCAGCATGTGTTTTGAGTACAATGGTGTGAAATAAATGTCCTTTTCTGTGGATTTCTGTGGAGTTTGGACCTCAGTCGGACTGTGGACCCTCTATGAACTTTAATGAGATGGCAGTGGACATGAAACACACTGAAGGGGTGTGAAATACAATAAACTGACCTTCTCTGTTTTCCTTTTGTTGCTGCCAATGTTTCTGTCAGCACATTTTACTAGGCTTGCTTAAAGCCTCAAGTGAGGTGTTACACTGCATTTACAAAGGTGCCAAATCCCCTGCATTCTGGCAGGCTGTCTGGTACTCAGCTGAAAACCCGCCTGAGGGGCAAAGCAGGAAAGAGACGCCCCCTACTCGCAACACGGCTTTGCTATTGATTCCTGGAGCAGTTCTGCTTCTGAACGCCTCTGCAGAAGACCGTCACACTCAGAAAACACGTTCATGTAGGAAGAAACGTTCAAAGGAAGGTGGCTGTGTCTGCTCTGAACAAATGAACTCCGGAAAAAAGTAAACATACAGATTTCTACCTGTATGTTTCATATTTATGACACCAGATGGCTTGATGTGGAGAGTTAGCCTAGCCGCGTAAAAGCAAGGAGCCATTGATTATCTGCAGATGCTAAATCAGATGATTTCATGATGACAGAAATTATGCTTTAGTCTCACTAGTTTTATTATTCTCTCCTATTTCTAAGTAATAGATTGCATTTAGTCAAAAAATATTACAAACAGATGACATGCTACAAGCTCAGGAGCTCATGTTCTCAAATTGCAGGTGTTTAGCACTGATATTGTTCTCAACTTAAGAAAGTCTGTCACTATCTAAATGACAATACTGCCTAACAACACACTCCACACACTCAAACTGACAGTACAGCATTAAAATTCAATTCTTGACACAATTCTTGTGCTGCTAACAGTGTCTGATCCAAAACAAAAGGAGGATTTCTAAAACAGATCAGAGGCTGTATTGAATTATTCATCTCACTCTAACAAAGAATTAAACTAATCTATCTGCCAGTGACACATGCAGTTTTCCGTGACGACGCAGACGAGTGCCAAACAGCATGTGGCAGTGACGGGTTAGCATGGGTCGCTAATAATAAATGAAATGCTCAGTTAATAGCAGCTTGATAGCCAGTGAAAACCAACAAACCATTTTAGGCTGGTTAAAGATGTTTTTTTTCTTAGCAGGAGCAATAAAGGCAGGCATCTAAAGGTATGCTAAGCAGTAAACTGTTCACATCCCTCGGATAAGCGAGGGAATCATTTGGGTCTTCATGCTGTTTTGGGGCACTAGGCTAGTCTTTAGCTGTCTAGCTGTGCTTATAATCTCCAGATGATCTATTCTTCTGTGTTTCTTCCAAAATAACTTAATATTTAATCTCAATTTTAATCAAAATAGTTTCTTCTTCTCGTCAGCTGCAGAACTACTAGGATATTTTTTTCTGTCTGAGCTTGATCTGATCACAGGAAACTATCAGTGAATTCTGGGAGGAGAATCACTGACTGTGGGCTTTTTGCATTATTCAGCATTGCAGTGTTTGGCAAACGTACAGGCCTCTGCTCCATATATTATTGTGGATTTTCTGCAATGATGTATGAGCTCATGGAGAATCAATGTCAAGTGGTCAGTTGACTGATGGTGTTTCATTTTCATGTAACAACCTGTCATGATTGACATATGGCAGACTACCTTTTGTTGAACAGCTCAGGATTCTGGATCTTGGCGTCGGTGTCATAGACGAAGTGCTCTTGTGAGATGGTGACACTGTTGTCAAGACTGTCGTTCTTGCTAATGGTGACGACAGGGTAACCCATCTGCAGCGTCCAGCGGTCCATGACCTGTGTGATGTTGATGTCCTTTCCCTCCCGCTGCATGGCCTTTGACACAAAATATATACATCAAAATACATCATACATATACAGATCACCATGTTGGGTGTCTAACGGCAATAGAAGGTGCAAAGAAAACATATTGTGTCAGATAATGTCAGGTGAGTGAAAATGAATTCAGATTTGATGTCTTTAATTGCAGATACATGAATCTAAACTGATTCAACTTTTCTTTGTCTTTCAAAACTATAATGGATGTAAATAGTTAATAGAAAGGTGATTAAACTTCACCGTTCTCTTAAACCACATACGAAGAAACATCACAAGGCAATTTCCAGTTATCTAATCTTTCTATACAAGAGCAACGCTTGTAAAAGAGCAGAGCTAGGTTTATAAGTTCTTCAGAGGAAGCTGCTCCTCCTATTTTAAAGAAGTAAAAGATAAAATTGGATCTCACGGCTCATTAATGAGGAAAGCTCCCTGTTTTGTCCCTGAGGGAAATATACTGCCTACACAGTTCCTCCTTATTCTTTGAAAATGCTATATACATGGCTCAGTACGGTGGACAACTGGCAGTTTTCTGTATGAATTGTTTTCAAAAGCTGTATGTATGAGGGACATTTTAAAGCTTTATGGAGTTTCATCTTCTTTTCACCTTGAGCTGCTGTATCCATTTAAAACGAAAGGTACAGTAGGTGACTGTAACATTAACATTGTTTGTGTAACAAAACATTGGAAATGCCTCATCGCCCATTCAAGCACCGCCAATGCAAAGTCACTATTTTGAGGTTTCGAGAGCTGCAGAGGCCACTCGATATTTTTGTATGAAATTGGTTGTAAACCGGTGGAGATTTACAATGTTTCTGCAGCAGCACAGAGTCAGTGTGGATTGGAAGGGGAATGTGGTGGCAGAAACAAAAGTGCTCTGTCAGGCTCTCTTGAATTCTGCAAACATCAACTTAACTAGATTATTCGAGCATGTGCAACTCCCCTTCTCCAGTGTAACTGGGAAACTCTTGCTTATAACAGATGATTCTGACCATTATGAGTATTAAAATCTGAGACTAATCAAGCTTGCATGAGATGACTATTATGGAAAACGCTGAATGAGACCACACGACTTCTCACAGCTATCAATGACTCATGGTTTGTTTACCGTGTGAATACAGAAGAGGCTCTGCAGAGGCTGATGACGACAGCTGATGTTCCTAAAATTAAGAATCATTTTCTTTAGGACAGCTTTCAGGAAGCTACTGTACCTTTGCCCTGGCGGATATAATTAAAGGAAGTGAAGGCCGGTCCGGCGATGGGTCGTGAGCTTGACAAAGGGCTTTGTGGGCGCTAAGCACTGCCAGATTATTGCAGCAAATTGGATTTCATGAATAGCTAATGAACACAGCGCATATCAGTATTCATTAGATGATGGGCTGTCATGGACTGTTAATGTAGCTAAATTCATCAGTGCCTGACAAACACGACCACTGAGAGAATACGGAGGTCCAGGTCTGGCCCTTTCACATAAATTCACCTTTAAGTCCGTTCTGTTTTGAAAGAGAAAATGAAGAAGCGGCTCCCATCAGCCGGCATTTGGGAGAGTGATGTGAATGACAAAACGCTTCATACGACGCTGAGAGCTGCTAAATGTCCTGCTGTTCCATTACAACCTATAATAACTTTGAGATTACACTTGAAAGTAATCTCATTAAAATCGTGACACTTTGTAAGATGAGCGAGAGGGGACTTGCTGAGAGTCCTCTGGTTTTAAAAGCACATCTCTGTGCTTTGAGCTGATGACTTGAACCCAATGCTTAACTTCACTGTGATTATAGTTGTTGGCTACGACCGTTTACTTCACAGGTGCTAGCAGTTCCTCTCGCTGTTGCTTTTAGTTTCTTAAGCTGTCTGTATTATTTACAACTGCACTGCACAGGTGAGCTAGCATATTAGCATAATGTAGCACCACACATCCAGCCTAAATTTATATCGTCATCTGACCAATTTCATTTTAAGCTGCATTTCATCAGTTAGATATGTGGGATATCCTTACTTGATACCTCCATACAATGAAGGGTGTTCGGTTGATGCTGAAAAAATGGCTTATAATGAAACAACAGAACAATCCTAGCATTTGTTTTCAATATGTGTGCAATTATAAAAATAATTGTTTTATTAAACAGGTTTTATTATCATTTAATGTAGGAACTTTGCATTAGCATTGCAGCATTTGTTGTTCCGGTAACTGAACAGAAGGAATTATGGGAAATGAAGTCCGCCACGAACAATACGGTTGCTAAACCCTCTATGGTACTACAAAATACAGAGAAACTGAAACAGCAGATCACAGGAAAAATACCTGAGTGTTTCTGTCAGGAGGGGTGCACTCGTGCCAAACCTAATAAGAACTGTATTTTTGAGGCCCGAGTGAAGCATCTAAATAGGTCAACTTTCCTTCAGCAGAAGATTTTTCTTGGGTTATTCTTGGCTACACCTGAGCCGAAGGGCAGATGGTCATGTTTAATCTGAGAGACTCATCAGGCTTGTCAGCAATTATGTGACACTTCACTAATCGGGTCTGATAAGATTCAACTAATTTATAAATTAATTAAAATCACCATAATCAGCAGCAGCAAGCCTTTATTATCAGTATCTGTGAACATTTGCATTTAGCAGGTTTCAGTGATCAGATTTCTGGATCAATATTTGACCTGCGTTTGCAGAAATCGTTTCCATTCTAAGTGAAACCTCAAGTGTAAAAGCGAGACTATCAGACACAACCCAGCCTCCATATCAAACTCTTTCCCATGTGGCATTTCCATAAAACCCTTGTGCGTTGATGTGAGTAGGTGGTTTATTGGCATAAATTTGATGATGTGCAGTTATATAATGGCCTCTGACTTATATGCAGCGCGTGATTCTCTGAACACCTGCCTGCAGGAGATGCACTGGGTGAATTAAAGTAGGTTGAACACACACAATTTCACTCGCCGCTCAACACTGACTGACCCCAGCGCTGATTCCTGCTCGTGGATGGAGGTCTCACACCCAGAAGATGCGTAAAGTCTCACCTCGGAGAATTTGTTCCACAAGTCATCTCTCGCCGCGTTCCCGTACATGTGCGTCATCAAGTAATCCTGCAAACAGACAGAGACAGAGATCAATATTGGAAGAGAAATAAATTGGACTTGGACGGGAACGGTGAACTTGGAAAACCAAATAAACCCAAACAATAACATTACTAATCCTCTCAATTCAAGCTGAACGTATGCAAATTAGCAGCAGATGTTTGGGTGTGATTGGCTGTCAGTTCAAGGAGGACCATAAGGAGGCCAATTAGAGGCTGATTATGTTGTTCCAGTCGATGCTGCATCAGCTTGTCACTGAATGAGTAACTTACAAATCAGCAACATGATTTCTTTCAAGACATAAAAGATGGTCAAATTGTTTACATTAAAATAAACACAGGAGAAAACATTAGATTTATCCCATGAGTAAACGTAAATACTCTTACAAAAAAAGCACTGTAGTAGCATATAATAATCATATTCATACACCATACAGTAGTTGTATCTACATGTCACTCCAAGGTACTTCCCATGTACGACTTATCTGTTATTACCAAAGTACATGCCTAAAAAGTCTGGTAAATTTGGTGAACATTTATTCATAAGTAACGAGTAATTATAAGTGAGTTTTGTGAAGAAAGGAAACACCTTACACTCAGCAAGGTGCATAATAAAAGTGCCTCGACATCAAACACAGACAAATCTGCATAGAAAAGTGGATGTAATATCTGTATTGTGGTGTATTATTGAAGCTAAGACAACGGTGGGTGTTCATTTCACTGCTAACAGACTTTAATCTGTTAAAACGCCAAACGTTACATTATCAGTGCTTCTGTTCTGCCCTGCAGTCTCAGTGATACAGGTGGTGGGCGACATGAAGAAGGAGTCTGATCCTGGGGAGCACATTTACATGCATCTGATAAGAACATCTGGTGGGAAGCCTCTTGGCCGCTGTATACGAGATTCCTCGATAACTCTTGAGTGACCGTGAGTGATAAACCCGTCAACTGTAATCCGTTTCCTGTTGCTGGAGTCAAGAGAACATGCTGACAAAAAACTGCATGTTCCCTCCTAATACTGGTGCATGTCTTCTGTAGAGCACAAATAGAGATATTTTGCAGAATGTCTAGGCTGCTCTTTTCAATACACCAAAAACATAGCCTATATTAATGCATTTAAACTCTTCTTAAGTCATAAGCTATCTTTGTGTGATAAACAGACCAAAAAGGTCTGTTTTTCAGTTTTAAACAACAATACCAGTACTCAATACCATTACTGCAGACACACTTCACTGGCTCTTAAAGAGGGGTAGATGTTAAGTGAATAACTGAAAAAAAAAGGATTTGCAATGGCATGAGTGTGAGCAGATGATGGCAGGGTTTTCATTTTGGGATGAACTATTCCTTTAATAAGGCCATTATTTCAGCCTTTGCGTCATGAATTGAATCAAAACGGACACTTGTTGAAACGTGAACAGGCGTCATGCTGAGAGGTCTGAGCAAATTGCATTGGGATCCTGAAAGCGTGACCCAGTCCAGCTGGCCTTCATCTCTCTACATGCTCTGCTGAGCTCTCAGAGAGTCTGGGATTTGAGTCTGGAGCAGAACCAGATTCATGTTACCATCCTGATGAATCTGTTTTAAACCAGATCAATTCCTCTTCCTCTCTCTCTCTCTCTCCTCCATCAGAGTTAATGCCCTGAAGCGAAGTGACCATGTGGTCCAATCTCGCCTCTGATAGGGCCGTCACAGTGTGTTGTCATTATTTTGACACTGATGTGTTCTGCTGACTGCCAAAGCAAGAATATTTTCATATATATATATATACAGTATCTGTTCTATAACGAGTGCTACATTGTATATTTAACCATTGTCTAGTCTCTTTCAGCAGATCTAAAACCTGCGAGAATTTGAATTTGAATGTTGCAGTAAGAAATACCACTTCTGCTCATTTGCATACATTTGCATAGCAGCGAGGGACCACCCAGAGCCATTTTATGTTGGTGTTGACATTTTCCAGTCTGCTTGGCATGAAATTGTGTATTTTAATGACTGTAGTGACCAAAACCTCTTACAGAGAGACACACGTGGACAGCAAAATCATATGCCTTAACAGCTGTCTACTGTCTGCATACTGCAAACATCATATGGTGTAAAGCAGCATTCTAACCTAAAGTGAACCTCATATGACTGATTTAAAATGTTTTACATAGTGTCTGTATAGTGTTTCTCTACTTCTCACATTCAATGATAGTCAATTACAATAGAGACTGGTATTAGCATATGTTACTAACCTAATTTGATGTTGTAATAGGAAAAATAATATATAGCACATACAAAATTTAATTTGGAGGCCATATTTAATTAAAATTACACAACATTTTTTTAAATCTTTTATGACTCTTTTTCAATGTTTTAATGCATCCTTAGGCTACTTTTTGTCAAAATAACTAATTTTTGAAAAGCATTGTTGTCAAGAGCGTATTGTGATTCTGAGAAGTCTGTCTAGATAGACAGCTTGGAACAGATCTAAAGATTCACTACATAACTCAACAGATTCCAGTGGGATGGTTATGTGTGTAATTAATTTACTCTAATTAGCAAAGGCTAGTTTCTCCTCTGACACTCTCCAGGACAGAATAATATCCTGAACGTTCCTTCATCAGATATTATAACCACATTCGGTTTTGGTTTCTGATTCTGCAAAGTCAAATTATATACAAAGGCAGACAAAAGATTGATCGTTTTCGATATGTAAATCCCCCCAAAGCTAAAACACAAATTTTCTGCAAGAGCCTTCACCACAACAGTCAAAGCAGATCATAAATAATTCATTATTCATCCAGCTGAATGAGTTCCCTCAAAAGTAATACAAGAAGAAATATGTCTACAATTTTCTTGCATATGAAAGTCATTTTGAGGCAATGGAGGTAGATTGTTTGCTGAGGTGCTGTGTTTACCTATTCTTCCCATCAATCACTCAGAAACAGACAATGTTACTGAAATGTTACTTTCAGATACTGAAAGTTCCCATAAGAGAGAGAAAGAAAACAGTAATAATGAGGCAGAACAGCCGAGCCAGAGGGGCTGCTGGGAGAAGAAGAGGAAGATGGGAAAAATGGATCTTCTCTGTGTTCCAGAATGTTGTGGAATTGAATCGAGGAGTATCTGGCTATTTCATCTGTGTTCAGAACGAATTATTAGCCCACAGCATCCGTGGGGAATCTCACAGACTGCCATTCTCCAAGTCAGGGACCCGCTGAGAGCCGACAAACAGGACTATGAAGCACCGAATCCAGGGAAGCAGCTTCCCGCAGTTCAAAATCACATCCAGAGGATGAAGATGGACTGTAACACGCTGAAGTTTATTTCTCCAGGGCAGGAGCGTACTTGTCCTCTGCTATTCATAGGTCAAGCATTTCACATTTCCAGCCGGAATGAATATTTCCTACATCCCATAATATGATCCATCTGAAAGTGGTTTTAAAAGCGATGGGCAGTGTGTGTAAATGAGACGCGAGCGCTTCATCACTCCAGTCAGAGCCCCAGAACCCATTCAGACTTCATTTATGACTCCCTCTATTCTTTTATAAGAGACATTCATCCACCTGCATCAGCAGCCCATCCACCGTTTACCAGTGAAGATGAGAGAGAGAGAGGGATGGGTAATGCTGGTCCGGATGAGACTAAAGCCCGTCTGCTGCTTCTGAGCTGTTCAGCATTCACGACTGTCTGCAGCTTCAATTATGCAGAGACACAAGGAGGAGGAGAGATGCCACACAGAGCAAAAAACAGACACTGAGAGAATGAAATGAGCCTCGGTGAACAGACAAAGACAGCCAGCAGACGAGAGAGGAGAGCTGGATCACTGGCAGATGTGTGAGGTTGTATTTCTAATACTCAGACTTTCAGATCTACAGTAGAGCAGTTTAGGAGTTCATAAGAGACTATATTGAGCATTTCTTGAGGAAGTGAAGATGTGATTATTACAAGGAAAAGAGGAAAATAAAACTAAACTAAATAATAAATGAAAGAATGAATAAACGAATGTAATTTTATTTTAAATTTTTTGGTGAGAAAGGAAAAATAAATAAATAAAAACCTGTTTAATTTAGGAATTAACTCAAAATGTAAGAATTTAAAGATGAATGAATGAATGAATGAATGAATGAATAACAGCATGATAAAATATAATCATTTTAAGAATGCCTCTAAATAATACAAGAATTTAACTAAATAACCAACAACAACAATAATAAAATGTAATAATAAATTGTATTTTTCTGCTTTCTACAGATTAATCACAATTACTTTATTGTGTTTCATTTAAAAAAAAAAAAGATAATAACCAAGAAAAAAAGAATAATTAACCAATTCAGACAGAACTGCACATTATCTTGCTGTTGCATTAAAAAAGTAAATTGATGTTGCTAATAATACCACAGGTTTACTATACTATTGCACAAAACCAAACACATTAATTACAGTTATAACCCGTTCAAGATAAATGGATCACATACAGTATATGTGCATTAGACACATCAGTCTGCTGGTCTTACATGTATTTGTGCTGTGATATAAAGCTCGTATGTGCAGATGTTACATCAGTAAATGAAGCATTAAATGTGTTGGTCTGCAGAAAACATGACCTGATTGTGCTTCCAAACACTAATAGCAACATTAAACCGCAATAACAAAAATAACCCCGAAAACAACTCTGAAACTGTCAGATTTTTTACAGCATCTCAGGCATAAAGAAATAAAATGAGAAGTTATGGATGTTTAGAAAAGTGATTTATGTGAAGGTGAGGAATCTGTACCTCTGAATCTGTGTGAACTCACACATTAAAGGAGGAGGGATTTGTACCTTTAACACATTTACATTTATTCGTTTACAGATTGACTCTCACTGGATTCAAACCTGTTTGTTCACGGCCCAGATCCTTTAACCACATTACAGGATGTAGTTTCATGTAGCAGCCATATGGTGTCCAAAAAACCATTAATACTCTCTAATAATGCATCACGAGATCTGCTGCTCACTCCAGAGGAGCTCTGACTGCTAGACGGACACAGAAAGAGCTTCAGAGAACTTAAAACACTTCAGCTGGAGCAAATGACCATGTGACTATAAACAAACTGATCTAGCGTCTACACAATATCAGCTACAGTACATGTGTTTTAATGCAGCGGATGTGTTTCACCATTACTGTAAACCGGTTTAACACAGATAATGATTCTGAAACTTCTGATTGTAAAAGTTTCAGATATGAAATTAATTTCTGACACGAACACGTTTAATCACTTGTCTGATTGTGCTGCTTTCACCTCAAGCGTGATGGCAGCACGTGACACAACAACAACAACAAGCTGTTGCAGCTCTAAAGATAAGAAACACATGTAAACCGACGCGGCTGCACAATCTCCCAAACATACGAGACACTCAGAGCAACCTGAGGGGACTTGAACATTCACTGAGATATTCAAGTGTTAAATGGTGAGATTCATTTGTAACACATTCAGCTCACATTCACAGGATTTAACAAGGATTGAGTTTTTGAAAAAAATTAATTGAGAAGTATTTTAGGTATTATGCCACAATCCTCTTAAAGCTGCATTTATGCAGAATGTATAATTCATAAAGAGAGCCTTATAAAAATATTCATAACACATTAGGAGTAAAACATACATACGTGTGAAATCCACAAAGAGAGAAGATGAAAGAAAACTATTGACTTACAGTGAGGCCTCTCTGGAATAGCGGCTGTCCCATGACGTTAGCCAGCATTCGGATCAGAGCGGCTCCCTGCAGACACAACAGAAACACACACATTCAGTAAAAGCTCCTCATTTACACCTGCTCGTACAATATACATAGTATGAAAGTACAGTAATCCACCTACAACAGAAGTCAATGGGGCATGAAAAATGTGAAGCTTGTATTTTTGAAGCGCTGTAATTTTCTATTTAAATAGCATTTTTGAATACAGTCCACTTCCTCATATTTGTATTTAAATTAAATGTAATTTATTCAGTCTTATTTTAGCAATATTTACTGTATATACTAGTACAGTATTTTATTAATTAATATTTTGAATTAGTTTTCTACAGTTTACATTTTAATATTTAAGTTATATTTTTATTAGCTTTTAGAATTGTATTTTTTCTGTTTAGCTTTCATTTATTTTATTTCAGTTTTTGTTTTAGTATAATTTAATTATTTGTTTAACTTTTTAAAATTTTAATTCATCATCTAAAATTTGTATTTTATTATATTTTATAATTTTTTATAGTATTATTTTGTATTTAATATTTTATTTTTAATAATTTTAGTTAGCATAACAACTCTAAATTAAATTAAATTAAATTAAATTAAATTAAATTAAATTAAATTAAAATAAAATAAAATAAAATAAAATAAAATAAAATAAAATAAAATAAAATGACATTTTTACATGCTTGTCCATCGCAGAACTTGTTTAATATTTCATAAAAGATCAGTTATTAATAATGTCCCTGCTCTTTTTCTAGTAGCTCTTCTTTTTCAAGTATTCAAGTTTTATATAAAAAGAGACTCCATGACACTCGTCCTGCTGATTTCTGCAGTTTCATAAATTTGTATCTTTTTGACTTTGAGTGACTTTGACATGCTCATTTGACAGCATCTAATTCCTATCTCCCCACATCCCATCCTCTACAGTCTGTGTGATGAGTGTCACTTCCTGTTAGCGCTGAGGACTCATGGAATGTGTTGTGGGATATCAGAGTCCTTAGAGTGTGAGGAGGAAGTGATGAGGGACGGCTGGGTGTCAGGATCACTGCAGTTTGACTGACAGAGTTCATAACACCACAGAGCCTGTAGAGAAACAGGGGGAGGGGCTTGAGGAACAGCAAGAACCAATCAGAATCCAGCTGTGCATTGATTGACAGCTGGAGGGAGAGTTGAAGCAGAAACTCAAATCTTCATTGGATGGAAGATTTTATCTGGTTTGAACTCTGATAGAGGACAATGATTTTTCTTTACTGCTCTTTGTGCCTTTAATGGCTTTCAAATGTTCAGGATGAGAGGATATATTTGGGTGCCGGAGTTATTTAAAGTGTGTTCCAGTAAGAAAGAGGTAATTAGATGTTGTCTGGTCTGAGATGAAATGTTTATTGTGCAGCTGAAGTCCCCAGAGGACACAAAACCTCACAATCTCTCAGTGTAACAGTTTCTGTCCTCGACTTACTAAAAAACAAGCTTTTAATTAAACTGTTTTTCTTGTGTATGTGAAGAGGCTTATAACAACACGACTCCATTTACAATTCACAAAGATATACTGAGAAGTCTTTAGCTGGGAGAAAAATAACGAGCAAATGGAGGTGTTTACTGGACTTAATAAAAGATTGTGTTCAACGGTGAAGTCCTGACATAAATAACTGACTGATTTACACCGACAATACTGCTGTTTTACAAAGTCATTGTTTCTCTTCTGCTGACTGTGTGGACTCATCGTAAGAACACGTTTTGCTCATGTGCTCTTGTTCATTCGGGTTGTAAACATAGTCTTCCATCAATGTTTCCTTCACCTTGTTCCTTTTTTGGAGAGAAAAAAACAATGTCTAATATACAATAAGCTTTGACAATAATTCTATAAAATGCCCTGGAATTGTGGAGCACATTCAATATCATGCCTGCATGTGACACCAATCCAAAAAAAATAAAAAATCTAAAATGCCAAAAGATTTTCATGCTTCACAAGAACGAATAAAATTCTTGTGTGTGTGTGTGTGTGTGTGTGTGTGTGTGTGTGTGAGAGATTTGTGCGGAGGGTCTCACTGTCTCTGGGCTCTGATCAAATGTGTCCCTGTAGGATTCACTATAAAGACAGGTAGAAGTTTTGGGTCAGATGAAAAAGACCCTCATCATTCACTGTGTCTGTGAATCAGCAGAGAGTCACGATCTCAAATACAGTCAGTCGTTCTGGAGCACATGAGGAAGATGTTACTCTGATACCAGCTTGTTCCCTATTTTAAGGAAGTCTGAACTGATTTTTAACTCTTTAATATAATATAATGAGAACAATAAACCACAATGAGGCAATTAAATTAAAAAAATTACCATGGTACTATACTGTTTTTTCTTTGAATAACCTTTGCATATAATGTAAATATACAAACACAATATGTTATACAAAATCACATGATTATATATGAAAGCATTACACTGCAGGTTCATATCCAGAACATCTTCACAATGGGCTCTCTGGCGAAATCTCTGCACTGAGTTATCAAATTCAAAACAACACTAAATTAAGGTTTTATAATTTTTTTATTTTCTCATCTATGTATTTATTAAAAGTGTGTGACTGGTGGGCCAGCACACTATCAGCTGCTATAAACACGTCTGGCTTTGACACTGTGCATGTTTTATTACACCTTTATTCTCCATCATTATGAATAATTCTTGCCCATTAAAGCTTTTGGCAGCTTGATTAAGAATCCCGTTGAAGACATTAATCCAAGAGAGCAGGATATTTTAATCAAGGGATTTGAGCTCAAACAAACAACGTATGAAAGTGAATCAAGAAACAAATGTTCATGAAATCATTCATAGTTTTATGTCAATATAATAAGGCATCTTCTATTAACCCAGTGAATCCTGGTTACTGGTAAAGCTCAATCATAATCTCATATTCTGACGTTCTGCTAAAAGCAGATTAATGAAATGACATGCGACAAAAAACAGACTCACATAAAAGAGAAAAGTCCACAAATCAATACAGAGAATATTTATCTGAGTGGTTGTTGGGTGGCTTTTTACCATATTTGTAAATAACGTTGTCTGTCAGACGGATTTGAAATAAATGATTTCATTCTTAACATCTAAATTAGGCAGCGGCTAATGAAGGATAACATTTCCTATAACAAAATTACATTTACCTTTAGATATTTGGGTCACCTTAAAAAAAAAAAAAAACTGAAATATGCTTTTCTTAATGAACTGCAGCAATAATTTATCCCTCATATTTAACTTCAGAGAGAAGATCTTGGAGAAAGTAAAGACTTCTAGAGAAATCAGTGTCCTAATTTCTCAAGCTATTTATATCATCACTTAAGTGGACTTGTAGATAAGAACACTGTGTGACAGCTGTCTCATTAGTATTTTCTGATGAGCAGTTGCTTCATTATTCAGACTAATATGAGCCTCAAAGTTTAATGTACATACACTACCATTCAAAATTTTGGGATCAGTAAGATTTTAATGAAGAAGTCTCTTATGCTCTTATTATGTATATTCATGGAATCAATAGCAAATGAGGCCTTCATGTAAATTTACAACATTATGGTGAATGTGAATACAGAAAAACAGACAGAGAGAGAAAGAAAACAGCTGGTGATTTTATGCGAGTCATGTAATGTGCTCTATAAAATGAGAAGAGCTTCCATCTGGCCCATATGTGCTCTCAACAAGGTGTTTAAGTCCAATGATACTTCATTTAGATCCTGCTTATTAGCATCTCAACATCATCACCTGCTGTAGATGTATGGCGTTATTTTAATGCCAAATGTCGAGAGCGCATTATTGTAGCGCGAAAGCACATTAATATAATGTGCCAGTGCGAATCTCTTTTGCTCTCGCACAAAACCGGACTTGCACTTAAAACGTGTCTCTCCTCTCACTCAAACTGTGTCCTGTGCACTCACAAATCTCTCTGTGCTCATGCGCTATAGATATTAATTATTTTCGCACCTGAATCTTAAATCTTAAATGGTCTTATAGGCCTATATATATTGTGTACTTGGATATATATATATATATCTTCTGAGACAGAACTATTTAGATATGGGTCAGATGCACTATTCCCTAAACCGATACTTACGATTTGGAGACCAAATATAACACTATAATGAATTTTTCATATTTGCCATAACATTACTACATTCTGTTCTATGGGTTTAATGCAGTTGCAGACAATGTAATTACATGTAACTGTCATATAACTGTATATTCACTGTTTTAGAGGAGAGTGCCATTGAATGTGTAGCTAATATTAAGTGGATTATCATGAAAAAAAATAAAAAAATTCAGAACTGAACAAACACTGGATTAAAAAAAACAAAAAAACGTAGCTACAATAACCAGTTTATGTTAAAACAAAAATACAACAATTAAAAATCAAGGAAAGGCCCTGCACAAATCTCTTTTGAGACTAGGCTACTTTTTAAAAGTGCATAATGATAACTTTTGACAACGTTTAATTCAGGTGCAAAAATAATTAATATCTATAGCGCATGAGCACAGAGAGATTTGTGAGTGCACAGGACACAGTTTGAGTGAGAGGAGAGACACGTTTTAAGTGCGCATCCGGTTTTGTGCGAGAGCAAAATAAATCATCTCTAACATGATGGATGTGAGAAAGTGGAGGAAAACCAACAGTCCAGTAGTTATGAGCAGGTCAAGGAACCTATAATGACCTATTACAGGTCCACGTCAAATCCATTCCCAACATTTATCTGTGCACTTATGAGTTTTCAGTTCTGGTTTCAACTCCTTCCTCTTGAAACATGCAATTGTATCCATATTTTGGTAGGGACATGCTTACAGTCATCCTATCAGCGTACTGAAGTGTTTCCATCAAAACCCAATTGCTCTCTAAAATGACGTTCCCTAAATGGTCTCTCTGCTTGGCTGGTGCCCCGTAACCAAGGTGGCTTGGAGCAGAGAGGTATAAAATACTGGGACAGACGGATGGGAAGGTCATTATGTGAAAGTGAACGAGAATGTGAATGTATGAGCTGAATGCACACACATATTAATATAAATATGTATGAACAAAAATGAAACAATTTAAATAGTAAACTTTTGGTGTAAACAGTTTAGCAAAAGAATAGCTTGAGACTGCCTTTAGCACTTGGTATATACGGCCCTTAGTTTACACTGTATGTCCAGTCTAAACCACACATCAGGTCTGAATCATGACCAACAACCCACAACAATCTTCCAACTAGCTCATGATAAAATTGCACACAGTCGGTGACTCATATTGACCTGAAGATCCAAACAGATTTTATCAGCACGACTGCTATTTCAAAGTGTCATAAACATAGAAAAACTAGGTTGTGTTTTGCTGTGCTGATGACCTGTGTATTCATTTCATTTACGAGTGAAGCCTCAAGTGCATCACAATAGCTGCATTACAGGCAACTAAGCCTGGACTGGAATAGCAGTATGCTAATTGCTAACACCATTATGTTCAAACAAAAGCAGATCTAGAGGGAGAACTGTTTGTCCTTGTATTATTTCATCAGGTTGTTTTTCTTTAACAAACCTGAAAGTGGATTTTATTAAGAAATGTAAGAGATATGTAGACACTGAGCAGGTAACAAACAAGAAAATGTGTTGTGTGTAGCATCATAATGTATGTTACATGCTACAATAATTAAATAGACAGTCATCGATATACACTTAACGTATACTGATATCCAGATCCTAATGTAGAAAAAATGCCTTCAGAAGAACTGCAGGATGGTTACTGTGGGATATATGGGAACTGTGGGAGGCTTTTATACCTGGTCAGAAACAACTGGAATTGCGTCCTGTTCTTTTATTTAATATGAAACAGATTAAACAAGTAGTAAATGTCGAATTTCTTGGTTTTGTGAAACTGTTATCAACATTTAGCAGGTAATATTGAGCAATCAGAGTATCTATAGCACTCAAATGAACTGTGAAAGGATTGTTGTTTTCTGCTTAGTTGAATCTTGGCACAAAAAGAAATGCTCAAGATCTTGTGTATGTGAAAATCATTGAAGAATTGCCCTCAATTTAAGGCATTCACATCTGAATAGCATGAAAACCATCAAAACTCTCTCTATATAGTGTATGAGTATGTGTGTATGAGACACATCTTTTGTGTCACATCACATCAGTTCAAAGTGATGGATGATTCAATGCATGAAATGAACTGAATACTATAGCGCTCACTTCTGTGCAACAACTCACCATGTTCCACTTTGGAAAGAGGAAATCAGTCCCGATGTACTCGAAATAATGAGCGAATCCCTCCTTCAGCCAAACATCCTCCCACCAAACCGGTGTGACTAGATCCCCAAACCACTAGAAGAGGAGAAATGAACAATCACTCATCCAAAGAGAAAAAACAGAGCGACCATATACAAAGATAGATTTTATGTTCACTGGCGAAGAATAACAACAATTTTTTGTTGTTTTGTACGAAAAGTGTTTATGGGTATTCTGAAACCAAACTTTATTTGGACAAAATATTCAATTTAGAGAAAAGAAATATATTACAATCCACCCTCCTATTCATCCAATATCTGCAAAAGCATATTGCATCTAGTGGCAAACACATTTTATTAGAAAAGTCCAATACAGCATACAAAATAGCTTGTGCTCTTCAGAAGTAGAAGTGCAAATAAACACTCTGGTTTAACAGAAAAGTTGTTCACAAAAGGCTTCACAGAACATTGAGAAACCAGTGGAGCTTCTGAACTATGATTAATAGTGGCTTAAACAATCAATTACCTACAGTTACACAATTAAAGCACATTTTTCTGTTTCACAGCATTCATACCTGGGCACTTCGCCAAGGACACCGTAAATGAACAGAACAGAGAAAAATAAGGATTCGATTATGAAACATCCCATCTGGAAGGTAGAAAGAATCCAAATGACCCCTGCCATTGTGTGCAGATGACAGTGTGCAAAACAGGGCTATTGAATGGAAAAGATGCAACATTGCAGTTCTAAATGGGCTGAACATTTTCCAGAGTCTGAGGCCGTCAAGCAGATGTGCTACTGAACGCCGGATCTCATTGTTGCAGCACACAAACCTCTGTAGGAGTCAGACCTCTTTCATCTGAACACGACATCATTACAGCAGCTCAAAGCATCTGACGGCACGTTCATCTGTGACTCAGACACATGGACTGATAGCGTGGAGAGAGACAGCTGGTATTCTGCTCTCAGAGGAACCTTCTGCTAGTCACACATCAAGTGACTTCCCATAGGTTTACTGACTTTTTCTGCCCTCTTCTGATTTATCAGATGTTCTGACGCTAATGACAGTGAACCAGGATAGTGAGTCACATCACGTCATTTATTGCGTTTAAAAAGACTGAGCTTTGTCAAGCAAATGGATTGGTATAGTGAAATCTTGAAGAACGACACAGATAGTTCAACAACACTAGAATGTCAATGAACGGTACGAACCGTGAGACCTTCGCTCAATTATGTCTGTGAGATGAAAGCTAAACCGAGGGATTCTGCAGCCCACCTGCTTCATTAACAGATACTCTGGAGGAAGTCGTGCAGGGAAGAATTCACACTATACCTCTATACTGCAGTATATAAGGGACGTTTGAAAAAGGAGAAAACCTTCAACGGCATCATTATAAAACAACCTTAAGTTGCATTATATATTATTGACATGAAGTCTTCAGACAACCTCAAAGTCTTGTACTTACCTACAAATAATTGAGTATAAGTGTCCTTCATTGACATTTAACAAGGAGGTTCAGACAAGGTCTGTCTGGTTTATGACAGCAGGGCAAAGGTCATTGCCTTCTCAACTGGAAAAAATTCCTTAAGCTGTATTTTAGCACAAGCTAAATATTATATGGCTCACAGACTCAAACCTCCCACACAAGCACCATGGTCTAAAATCCCTTACAAAAAAGATGTGTATTAGTAAAGTTTATGTATATTTTGCAAGTGTACTTTGTAGTAATATCAATGTACTAGTAGTACAGTTGTAAGTGAACAATTCCAATACTAAAGTGGATACTCCAAGACTAAATTGGCCATATTTTAATTGATAAAAGTGTCATTTTAAGTACACTTTAAATATTAAAATGTTTATTATAAACATATTTCATTTAAAATGGCAAAGTATGAATAAAAATAAACATTGCACCCACTATTAAGTCTTTTATGTGCTTATTACAGAATTTCATTTTTGGCTTAGCAACATGCTAACATCAAACTCTGAGAGTTAAACAATGAGAACCAAATTTGTCATGTACTTTACATTAACTGAGTTAATGCCTATACAGCCAATCAAATCAGCCACTTAATGAGGCTTAATTTCAATGAAGATTCTTCCTTAGAAGGCAGCTGTCTTTGTAGAAAGCTCACTAGGTTCTGGAACAGAGCCATCATCACACTTCTTGTTTGAGCTAATAAAACAAATGACTGTTTATCCTGAATCTCAGTAAACCTGAACTAAATGAAGTAGAACTGGAAACTGCTCCAATATGAAAATTCGAAACCCTCTGTTTTTTGTGACACAATTAAAGTATTCAGTATTCAGAGTGAGAGTGTGAAATCCCCAGTTTCCTATGTGTTTACAGACGCCGTCTTTTATAAATGAGGAGAGAATAAAACACCAGCCAACAGACGTGAGTCATTTAGACATTTATCCTCATATTTAATGTGTAACTTATATTTAATGTCTAATGGTTTGAGATGTATGTGACGTATAAGAACTGAAGCCTCACTTTCCTATCATATTCAAACCCAGAGGGCAGAATGTCACCTCCCCATTTGGTGGAAAATAAGAAAACTCAACATCAGCTGCATCAGCCTCTAATAGGCTCGTGTTATTGGCTGAATAACTGCATATGAAGGGCTGTGGCAGCATCATTTCATCTGAGAGGCTGAAATGAGATGAGGATTTAACCGTGATTGAGCGTCTGTGACATATAAACCCCATCGCTGGAGGAGGCAAATCTACTAACAATCCACTGCTACAGCATCTGACATTAAAATGAGCCAGTATAGAGAGAGAGGTGGCCCTGAGCCCCAGAGAGCCAAAGGATAAACTTATACAATAAGAAACAGAGCCTGTCGTCCACTAATCAATTCTCTGCAGGCAGTCGGAGCGAGCGACGAGATACAAATGTGATTTATCAGACGCCGGCACTTTGCCACCAGCTCGAGTTATTAGAGCACAGACAGACCTTTTAATATATGACATAGCGCTGGATGAGGACTGATCTAATGCATTCACAATGAATCACTGTTGCCAACTCTCGCAAGACAAATGATCAACCGCAGCTTCAAAAACCCAATATTTTTTGATGATTTATTATCATTAATATTATTTATTATCAATTATTTATTACCAATAAATGAGCCTGCAACATATTAAACTGAAACCACCCTTTTATCTGAAAAGAAAAAACAGAAGGTATTTTACAAAATTCAGCAAACTGCAACAAAGCAGGAACAAAACTCATCTCCAATCACCAGTGAGCAGAATAGGATTGAAGAGATGGAAAAGGAGAAAAAACACAAGAGCTTCAAAGGGGAGCTGTAACACAGTCACGTATTTATAGCCTACTAAAATATTGGCTATTTGAACCAAATGTATATAGGCTACTCTTAGTATTAGTATAGGTCTACATGTCTTATATTACAGCCCATGTCACAAAGAAGGCGCGTGAGGAGGGGCGGAATATTTAACAAATTACACTACAGCACTATTATTGCACTGGTTGGCTATAACTGTGAGCAGACAGAGTGTCAATCAATGCATTGGAGAATACGGCGAACATAAATGAAAAGAAACGAAGTTGCTCATCAGATTTTCCTAACAAGCAACCATATTTTTTCAAATAAGCCCAAAAAACCGCAACCCGCAATTTTTTGACGCAACTTTACAAAAAAAGAAGCCCAAAGTCGCGTAGCGATATTAAGCGATATCAAGATGAACAACAACACATGACATATCACACCGTGTCATTATTTATGTAACAAAAACTAGGCCAAAATGGAAAAGCCATGGGTGACAGATCCACTTTTAGATCATGGCTCAAATATGCTTGCTTGACTTCTGTTTGTTAATAGACTTTTAATGGATGGACAACGAGATAATATTAATAATATCTTCATTTTTGTTTTAAAGATGAGGGATTGAAAAGACATGAGTTTGAGTAAATGTTTTGTCTTTTTGTTTTTGGTTCAAATGTCCCTTCAAACCAACTTGTGTACCTTCTGATCAATCAGTCTTGGGTAGAACATTTAAAAAATATATTATTTATTAATGTAGCAAACAATTTCAGCACATTTCCAGAGCTATAACTACAAAAAAAAAAAAGGGGGTTACACTTTATTTTGATAGTCCACTTTAGACATTCTATTAGCAGTAAGTAACTTTGCAACTACATGTCAACTAGCAGTTAGTCGAGTATTAGTAGACTGTCTGCTTAACACTTAAGACTATCTTCTAACACTTTCTTTGTCAACTTATTCTACTAACCCTAAACCTACCCTAACAGCTCTCTCTGAGAGTTAGTATACATGTAGTTGCAAATTAATGAGAATTAGTTGACATGTAGTTGACATGTAGTTACAAAGTTACTTATAGTTAATAGAATGTCTAAAGTGGACTATCGAAATAAAGTGTAACCTGATAATTAATACATTACAAAAATATTGTAAAAATAAAAAATTAGGCTACCTTATGAAAGAAAGTCATACCACTCCTCTACTACTACTATCATCACTTGGATTATAGCGTCACGCACCGTGATTTTTCTTCAATCCCTCATTGAAGAAAAATCACGTTCACAAAGAAGGCGCGTGAGGAGGGGCGGAATATTTAACAAATTACACTACAGCACTATTATTGCACTGGTTGGCTATAACTGTGAGCAGACAGAGTGTCAATCAATGCATTGGAGAATACGGCGAAGATAAATGAAAAGAAACGAAGTTGCTCATCAGATTTTCCTAACAAGCAACCATATTTTTTCAAATAAGCCCAAAAAACCGCAACCCGCAATTTTTTGACGCAACTTTACAAAAAAAGAAGCCCAAAGTCGCGTAGCGATATTAAGCGATATCAAGCGAACTTGGCAACTCTGCAATGAATGTGTCAATTCAATACGACAGGTGAGCATAAGACCCACCCACTCAATTGTGTAGAAAGAAATGAGATGACTCATGACGCTTGGAGTCAGTGTTGCCAACTTAGCAATTTTGTTGCTAAATTTAGCAACTTTTCAGACCACCCTAGCAACTTTTTCTTCCAAAAGCACCTAGCAACAAATTTAGCAATTTTAAAAATTGATTTGGCAACCTTTAGCAACTTT